TTTAACTTTTACCAAAGTATTTTTTTAATAAGATACTTTAAGACTTTTACTCAAGTAATATTCCTAAAGGAGACTTTAACTTTTACCAAAGTATTTTTTTAATAAGATACTTTAAGACTTTTACTCAAGTAATATTCCTAAAGGAGACTTTAACTTTTACCAAAGTATTTTTTTAATAAGATACTTTAAGACTTTTACTCAAGTAATATTCCTAAAGGAGACTTTAACTTTTACCAAAGTATTTTTTTAATAAGATACTTCTACTTTTACTCAAGTATAACTTGGTGGTACTTCATAAAACACTGGAAAAATCCACCAACCCCTGTTTGTGCGTAATGATCCAGGATTGAAGGCAGCAGTGGTAGAATCAGAGTAAATCCCAGCAGGTCCAGTAACAGGATGATAAACACGATGCTGATGACCTTCGATGAGAAGGAAGCTCCATCTTCTGCAGGTTTGTTCATAGCTGGAATCCCTTCAGTTTAATATACTACTCTGTTGATATAAAGACATAAAATATTAAAAAACAACAACTGTATCACAAAAATAGATGGTAACTCATGAATGATAAAGGCAAAGGAAATTTTGCTACTGTAAACACAATTTTTTGCAAATACTCCAGGAAGTTTTTGAAGTAATTGAGTAAAAAACCTTCATCCTCTTTCTCAAATGTTATGTGAATACAAAATGTTTTGTGGTAATCAGTAATAATGACACAATATGTGTTTTATAGTAAGTTAGTCAGGAAAAAAAAAACTTGATAAAGGAAGAAGAAAACAAGTCGAGCCAGTCTGTATAGTGAACTCCAGTTAAACAGTTTAAGGTCTGCTCAATAAATAATGCTTCCGTAGAATAAAGGTATCATTCAGGTGAGATCGATTAGCATCACTTCATTTTTCTGTGTGAAACCGAGAAAAAGTCACAGAAACCGACTTTACTTACATTATGTCCGTGGTTTGGAGGAATCCGAGCAGATCACACTCAGAAGACTCGATCACTTCCAGCTCCTCCGCCTCATCGGTTCATTTTTTGTGAATCCAGTTCAACACCAGGAAACCGGAGTCCTGTTTCATCTGRATGACAAGTCCGTGACGTAATTAACGATGCCTTCAAGGAAGCCTCGTAATTTTCTACTTTACGCTCAAGAACTACGTTTAGTACGTTTTTTCTTCCTCATTTTATTTTTAAAGAAAACTATAATGCGTATGTTTTTCTATAAAGTTTGTCTTAGCTGCACAATTAAGAGATATTCTTAAAAATGAAAATGTTTTTATTTTTTAAAGCTGTGCTGCTTAGCTTTTTCTTTGGTAGCAAAGCTAACATTAGCTTGAGTTGTAAAAAAATGTGTTTAATTGTAAACATTGATTTTAAAACATTAAAAAATGTTTAATTATCTTTTTAACTCACAAAATATTTAACTTATTTTGCTTTACATTCGTTCAAACTTATGTTTTAAGTTGTGCCACATAGTTTTTTGCTAACGTAGCAAAGCTATTTAGTCCTGATGCATCTCAGTAATCCAGGTAAAAAATCAAAAAGAAAAAAATTGTGTAGGTCTTCTGGACGGGTTCTTCTCTAATGAAACGTTTCGTTTCTCCTCCAAGAGACTTCTTCAGTCTGAGAGTTTCAGGCAAAATTCAGGCAACTCTCAGACTGAAGAAGTCTCTTGGAGGA